CATGGGGCACGTGAACAAGTCTAGACTGCAGGCTCGAAATGATCATCGTTTATCGTTTCTGTTGAATAGGAAATAATGTGCGATGAGAGACGGCACCCTCAGGCGTCAACGAATTTGAGGGAGCTTCGTTTTCATTGTTACCGAGGCATAAATCGAGTAGCCGGTTCTGTCCATGGTATAGTTTAACTTACTTACTTACTTACTTCCTCGGCGGCAGCTTCGTGGACGAACGGGATCCAGTGAAGCATTGCTACGTTCAAATTCTACAAACTGTCAAAATTGCAAATATGTAGTGGAACACAATGCTTATTCTATTTGCACTAAAACGTAATTATTCAACATAGCTTTGCGGCCTTTGCGCACCTACATTTGTATGATTGAATTGCATGTCATTTATTTCAAATAGCATGTCAGTTGTTTTAAGCTGAATGTCACATGCTTTAACCCGCCTGTCAATTGTTTTAATTCAGAAAGTAACTGTTTTAAATCGGGACTTCATTTGTCTTAAAATGCATCAAAAATGGTGTAGCTTCAAAATGTGCCAACGGAACTTTTCGGGAAGAAATCGCCTGTTCAAATAAGTCGAAGTTCGATTTTCTCAGGTCCAGTTTTTGCTCGTTTTGGCGACTTAAACAGTGCCTGTTCGGAAAACATAAAATTTTGCTCTGTCTGGACAAGAGGTGTCAAATTGATGCGGCTGAAGGCACTGAAAGTTTCGTGTTGATACGTCCTGTGGTTCAGAAGATGCTGCAGAAAAAAAGGAGCGGGCTTTAATCCTATTAGTGGCAGGCTCCTGGCTACCCCTATTAGTGGCAGGGGATGGGCTGTTTATACCCCCCCCCCCCTGATATCTCGAGATCTAACGGGCCGATTTTCAAAATTCAAACGGCATTCGATTTCGCTCAACGTGATCTACATTTCTAAAAAATAAAAATCAAAAAATGTCAATAGGGGGTAGAGGGGGGTAAAAACGGGCAAATTGCAGATACATTTTAGACTGTTTATCACGGCCAGGTTTCTGAACCAATCTTAACGCAACTTTTGCCGATCGATAGAGAATGAACCAGGAATTCACATGGATCCTAAAAATATGCATTTTCAAAAATCATAGGCGGATACAGATCATTGAGATTGGGGGTACACAAAAAGTATAGTAAATAAGGTTTTTGTTGGTATTGTTTCTAAAAAGGGTGGTAATGGTAATGATCTTGTTATGTTACAATTTTCTTGTGAGAGAACGACAATTGTATTGGTCATGCATAGGCGGTGTCAGGGCACCTATGTTGGGAGGTAAAACATAACCCCCCTTTTTGGACGCCTGGCTCCGCCTATTATAGCAAAAACGTGTCAAAAGAGGATGCACAATAACTTTGTATATGTTATCACATGATACCTTTCATTCACTGTTCGTAAAACTGGTGCATACAGTCAGTAGCGGCGGAACACCCTCAATTAAGGGGGGGGGGGGGCACTGCCGACTTTTGGTCCCATTCTTTCCATGCAACGCCCATAGGGCTAATGTTAAAATGCCAAAATCAAAGGGGGGCACGGTGCCCCGGTGCCCTCCCCGTTCCGCCACCTATGCATGCAGTTATAATACATCAGCATCGTGATCTTCGCCCAAATGACTCGCTTAACCTTCCAGGTGGTGGGGGGCATTTTTTTGCCCCCCACCCCTTAGTTTTTTTTTTCAATATATCTCGAGAACCGCTGCGCCGATCGTCACCAAACTTTCAGTACCCTCCCGGGAGCAGCTAGCGCACATGGTGACCAAAAAGTTTTCCAAAGGCTATGATAGGTTGGCCGCTAATGACGTCACCCGCTAATGACGTCAGAGTGACGTCATTTTTGCCATTTTCGACCCAAAAAAGGCTTCGCGGGAAGAGCTGTCAGGCCTACAGCTTTAGAGATACAGAAAAATGTTTCGGACATAAAAGGTGTGGAATCAAAAGGACTACAGAACTGCTATTTCGGTTTTTCGAATTTTTTGGATTTTGACCCCTCAAATTCAAAAAATAGATTTTTTGAATATAATAGCCAAAAAATCCAAAAAGTTTTTTGACTTTCGAAAAAACCGGAATATAGGTGATAGTCCCTACGGCCTTCTATCTACATACCAAATTTGACATCGATACCTCTTTTTTTTGGCCAAGTTATAGCGAAAAAACTGTTCAAAATTGATGACGTCAAATTTTCAAACTCAATTTTTAGCAATTCTAGACCTCCTAGCGCAAAACAAAGACCACCATTAGACTCCCCGTGACGAGCTGCATCGAATCAACACCCATTTTATGCAAAAATATCAACTTTGAAATTTGACCTTTTTTTACCTGACCTTGACCTGACCTCCACCAGAAAGTGACCTAAACCGTACCTGATGGTCTTATAACCAACACCATTGAGTTGGAAATGAAAAACTGGCCATAAAACATGCATCGCATAACCTTAGTAAAGTTGGGCTCATGTGGTGAGTACTGGTGACCCTTGGTGACCTTTGGTGACCTGACCTGTGACCTGACCTGGTATGACCAGTGACCTCTAATAGCAACATATGTACTAGACAACTCACGCCTCATCGCTGATTTTCGACAAAATACGTTTTACTCGGTGTTATGGCGCTTTCCCTAGAAGCCCCGTGAACGGTGAAACATTTTATCTTTGACCTGACCTGTGACGTCATCGGTGACCCCGAGGTCAATGAAATTTAGTTTCCTACAGCAAATTTCACAGGGCTATCGAACGCCGTTTGAATTTTCCGGATCCGTCCAGTAGTTTCGGAGATACGGGGGGGGGCAAAAAAATCCCCCCCACCGCGCGGAAGGTGGCTGGTAGGCCCACCGCCTGCCGGGTTAACGAATAGGACCCCCCAATTCCTAGTGCTCTGGAGCCGCCCCTGGTAAAGTTATGAACTTGAAATTTTCAGGGAATGTGCCCAATTTAGTTTTAGGAAAAGTCAGAAAATTTCAGCATCGTAGCTTCATGTAATCTGTAATCTGTAATCTGTAATCTGTAATCTGTAATCTGTAATCTTCAGCGGTTTCGGAGATATTCCCGAAAAACCTGAGGGGTGGATGAAAAAAAAAACCGCCACTAATAGGGTTAAATCGGGTTAAATAGACCCACCAGTGGGGCACGGGTTAATGGCCGTTCTTTTATGGCTCATACTAGTAATTTATATTTTGAAATATATTTTTGCTTTTGGTTTATATTTAATAAAATAATCTGATTAAAAAATGTTTCTAAGTCTTTCTCCTACAGTGTATACCAAATACTCCTACATCAGAATGTACCCATATTAGCCGCAACGCACGTGGTCGTGGACCCAGTCAGCCGTTTATTAGGGCTCTGGTGGGTAGTGCCATCTGCTGTCAGACCTGGAAACTCGGACCCACGTTCCCCTCCGTCCTGTGGCTGCGTCGGCGGCGCCGCGCCGGCCACTTCCAGGATAATGCCGCCACCCACCCGGCAGGGAGCGCGCGCCGAGCGGAACTCTCACCGCCGGCGGCATTGACGCGGCGGCGGCCGCCACCTGGCATCCTGCCAGCACGCGGTTGGGCTCGGCGTTTCCCTGAAGGCGGCGCGCACTCAGCCGAGCGGCAGGGCCGCATGGGAACGGACGCGATTGGCTGGCGGCTTGGACGGCCGCCAACTGCGCAGTCACCTTGAGCTCCAGTAGCGGTCAAAGGGGGTGGGGATGGGGAGGGGAGTTGGGCAAGGGGCGGTCGATTCCGGTCGGGCGTTGGGGCCAGCCAGCAGTGAAAAACAGACGAGGCGCCAGAGCGGCATATGGACTTTGGACCTCGGAGGTTGGACTGGCCGGGAGATGCCGGGGTCTGGACTTCGCGGTATCTTTTGTAGTACCCGTGATGAATCGTGATTTTTTTAACCAATCTTCCAAGAAAATCAGTACCTAATAGTTATGTCATTTATAGAAAATCGGAATACCGATACCAAACCAAATACCAACCGAAACCGTGAGGAAATACCGAAACCGAACCAACCTAGGAACATGAGGCAAATACCAAATTTATACCAATTTATCAGCCTCTTATATATTACTGAGGGTTCGTAATACCAACAAAATACCAAATATAGGAGGGTTGAAATACCAAATACCAAGTTGGTATCGGTTTGGTATCGGTATACCAAAATGTTGGTATCCGATTGACATCTCTAGTACCTAAGTAAGGACAGAGTGGGTTGCCTAACCGTAACCGTTTTTTCCACTTTTACAGCTAAATCGGCTAAAAAGTTGTATGACGAGCACAAAACAACAATACAATCATTGAGGAATGCCGTGGTGGATAGATAAAAAGAAAGGTGATCGAATTCCACAATCTGTCAAAAAAAACTTTACCCAGAGTAAAAAAGTTAGCCGCGTTGTCTGACTGGATGTTTCATATTTAGTAAGAAAAGGAACATTTATCCCCTTAGAAAATACCCGAGATAATCAAGCAATTGCACTGACCGATCATTCTGTTAAGTTAGCAAGTGTCGACTAGTCGTTTTTTTTTCTAGGAACGAACGCATTAAATCGATCACATTTCAATCAGCATGACTGACCTTGATCGATGTTGAAGTATGGCACTATCCGAATTCCGAGGAGACCGAGAGAACACTTCCAGTTGTTATCTTGACCTGGCTGTGAGTCACTGGAAGCTTTATCAGCACAGAGCGGCTCCAATGACAAGCACAACCATCAGTTTCTGCAAATGTAACCTTGAGACGGCTATCGCCCCTTTTGATCTCTAGGGCCATCCAGTCCGCGCCCTTTTCCGCCGCTATCACCTGCGGTATCAGCCTGGCGGTTATTTTTAGCAGCACATCGCCAGCCGCCAACCAATCACCGGGCGCGCTCTGGAATATGTCCATATTTGGCGAGAATTCCGCCGCGTCGGTTGACCAATCAGCGCCGACGGCTGAAGTCATGCCCTAATATGGTCTTGGCACAGCCGCGCGCATGCGTACCACCTGCCGATTACGTCATCTCCCGCGCCACCAGGCCGGGAAACGGCAGCAGTCGGGAACGCGCGGCGGTTGGGGTATGAGGTGGCCGAGTGACAGGGAAGCGTGAGAGGCGTATGAACTGCGGTAAGTGAGACGGCGGAAAGTGTCATTGCATTTAAAAAATGTGCATCCTCCCTATCCAAAGTGCTTCGGTATAGCCGTCTTGTGCGCAATCGGTGTCTTCCCAGATTCAGTAAGTAACAAGCTTTTGTTGACTACATTTTGTTTGACGATTGTGATTCAACCATCGTGAAGGTGCACTTAGATTAAATTGTGCGGGATAGGAGAGACATTCTTGAAATCCTGATGTAATAAAGAATTTGTGCTCGCTTATCAAAGTACAATGTTGATTAAAATCGTTATGAAGGGATGATGCGTCTCGCACGGCTTAATCAAATGTTCATTTCTTTATAAACCTGTGGGCATGCTATCTTAAACTCGTATTGGCGATAGAAAAGTGCGTAGTATTATGATGCGTGCGAAGTTGCACCGACTCTCTGAGCATGATGGCCTCATGATTATTTCGTGAGTGTCTGTTGTCGTTTTCATGTCGATATCGCATTGGGACCATTGGATGGGCGACATTTCTTTTGTGCAAGATGTTCAAGTCTCCACGAGGTTTGTTTGGAGGGGCTCCGTTGGAAAGAAGCTCTTCGTCTGGAATTGAGATGTTTGAATCCAAGTTACAACGTCAACTCTAAGCATGTCATCTGAAGATGCCTTTTGGCCTTTGGGCTGTCATTGGTGATAAGCATTGCTCGGGGTTACATGAGCAGAGTTAATACGCATTAGAAACGGACTACAATGGTGAGCGAATAGGAAAATCCGTTCCTGATACGCATTTACTTGCTCATGTAACCCCGGTAATTGTCTGCATAAGTGAGCCTCGGTGGCGCACCAGGTTGGCTATAACCAGGTAGTATATTCTTGACTGGTGGTCGTAGTAGTGACAAGTGATGGTTTTAAGTTGCGACCCTTGGGCCCCAATGACCACTGTCGTCCAGGCGCCAAAAAGAAAAGAAAAACAAGTCCCGACCCTGATCGCGATCTTTCCAGCGAGGGGCATTTTTGCAAGTACCCATACTTCCTGCGGCGCCCGGCTTCGATAAAAATAGCGGCGGCGAGAAATATGGGCGTTCGGAAAAGCAGGGAGGCTAAGCACAATTTCGCGCCATTTGCGCGCGGATCCAGATGTTTGTTGAATAGCAATACACCGTTACTTTTTACTACTGCAATGGTGTATCGACAGTAGAATATGTTACGACCGCATAGCTGGTCAAAGGTCCGGTAAAGTGTGCGTGCGTTACCGATACTGACTCCACTTTCGCAAGATGTCATTTACTCCACTGGATAAAATTGCTCGCTTATCTTTCAAGTTGAATGTTGTTTGCAGTGCAACGGACGGTCGCTAGTCATCATGGCTAGTAGTGTGTGCATAGCAGCTCATGTGACATGACAAGGCACAATTGAAATTGTGGTATGGAGACGCTCCTGTCTGTACCTATCACCGTTGTAACTGCACTTTGCTGTATGATAGCGTGCAGATCAGCGTCTGTACGGCGCCGGCTGCTGTCATTCACGAGCACGTGCTTGAGGAGAGTGCCACGGCTGATGCAGGTTTAGAAGGTAATTTTCATCGTGTAGACTAGAGGTGGGTGACAACATATCTTTGAAGGTTTTTTTATGAATATGGACATTGCTGTGTAGCCAATGGTTCACAATTTGTGTTACTGCCAGTGATTCGTTAATTGCTGCATTTCTTTTTTTACAGAATGTCACGAGAAAATGCTCAACCCCGCTTGTCGAGCACGCCCGACGAAGAGAGGATGGTGGTCAGCGCATCCAGCGAGGCCCAGCCACCCACGGGTGCGGCCATTCATAGCCCCGGCCAGCCATGTTCAAGCACAAACCCAGAGACGGCTGACGTTATCATTGAAGAAGATTCCACGGAGGCCGTGTCGCGAGTGAAAGGCCTTCTCAGCTGTTCAGCCTGTGGTGTGCTCCTTCAGCATGGGGAACACACACCGAAGTTGCTGCCAAGCTGTCTTCACACAGTCTGTTCTCGCTGTTCAGAACAGGGCAATTCTGGTGAGTGCTTTAATTCCGTTTTTACTGTCTTTAAAACCATTAGGCATTAACCTTTATTTTCTGAAATTCTGAAATTAAGTGCATTTCGACTTAGACAATTCAATTCCTATTTTGAAGTTTTAAATGCCAAAGCGCTTCACATCACTTTTTCTTAGTTATTTCTCAAGTTGTCATTGCCGTGGAAGGAATTGGTATTAATGCATGTAATTATGAAATGACTTTTCACTTTAACCAAAGATGTATCCACACAAGCTTGACACAAGCCTTCCTATTTTACACCTGTCTTACAGAAGAAGGCTTCCAATGCGGTCTTTGTATGACTACGTCACCCGAGGTGCTCGATCATCCTTTGGTGGAAGAGCTACTGCAACGAGAGCACGTGCAGCAATGCGGCCAGTTTTGCGGACAGTGCGACGAACGTGGTGAACGGATGGATGCTGCCGGTACATGCGAACAGTGCAATATGGAATTGTGCAAAGTTTGCATCAGCGTAAGTGCTCCCAAAGCAACAGCTTGTTGAAAGCTTGCCGCTTTCATGCTGGGGCGAGGGCCATCTTGAGACTGTGGCTCTTATTGGCTCTTATGGATGTTTTCTGCTTGATGGTACATTTATGTACTTTTGCTTTATTGTACTCTACTTGGTATTTGTGCTGCTACCAGTACCGCTCTAACACTTTAACCCTTTTCACAGGCCCATCAGAGGACCAAGGCTACCTGGACACATAACATTTCCATGTTTGATTTTGTCTTCACGGAGCCACAATGCCCGAAACACAACAAGGTGAGTTTGCCAACAATAATTCTGTTCCAAATGGCGATAATAATATTTTTTAGCGACACAAGCTCCCGTCTTTTATTTTGTCAAACCCTGCTTTAAAAGTTATCCCTCACTCTTGACCACACTCGTCTTAGCCAACCATATACCTATACATAAAGCCATGGGCCCTATGGTCTATTTGTAAAAGTTTCACTGCATTTGATTAAAAGAAAGTAAAGAAAATTGTCAAAATATCCAATTTTCTGATCTCTCCATCCATTTTTTGTTACTGGTATCAGCGGTTTCATGCAACCCCTCGACGCTCTCCGTCGGCTAGTGTGTGTCTATTGTATGATGTGTTGTGATCACCTGATAAAAGTGGAAAATGTACTACGATAGAGGCCAAGTGTCGCACCCTTAGATTTTGTCACAAACAGATGCTCTGGTAAAAACCACTTTTGAATATTGCTGTTCAGTCACTCGCATGTCACAATGCTGTCAAGATTTAGTAATGAAGAACCGGAAAGCAGGGTAGATTCAGTAGGGCATATAGGCAAAAGTGACTCAAAAAGTTGGTACGATACACAAAGTTAAAGTTTTTCCGGATTCTAGTGCACATCCATGTATAGCCAGTGTATCTTAACGAAAAAAGAAAATAAAGAATAGCGAGTAGCGTTACACAAAGATAAACTTAAGAAGAAGTCGCTTTCCACGTGTGTGTGCATGAACTTTTAATTATACTTAGGACATTTTGAGGGGGTGAATGATGCGATCAAAGCAAAAGATTCGTCGAAAGATTGCGTGGTGTATAAGGGCATAATATGGTAGTGTTTTATGCGTCCCGTCTAAAACTCATTCTTTTCGTAGTTTTTGCAATCAATTTATTCCTATGCTTAAATATCGTTTGTGTTTGTTATATTCATGAGCAACATCATTCCGTGTTATGCTCTCAGATTCCCCCACATTGACCCATGAAAAAATGATTTTCTTTTCCGCATCTTGTGCACGAGTTCACGCGTCGACAAATAAATCCCACCTCCACTACCCCGCCACCTGGCTTATTTCAAGTCACAGATAAGTGGCCAAGAATCACACGTGGTTGATCACACCACCCGCTGCGAGGGTCACTCGCCAGCGCCACCAGTGGGCATCCGCCGCCACCAGTCCTGTAGCCGCGTCACTCCCAAGCACCTCCAGTTAACTTCAGTGGGCATCCGCCTGCAGCAGTCCTGTAGCTGCAGCGTCACTCGCCAGCACCTCCTGTTAACTTCCACCAGTGGGCTTCCGCCGCGACCAGCCATGTAGCTGCGAGCGTCACTCGCCAGTGCTTCAGTTCCAGTTAACTTCAACCAGTTGGCTTCCGCTGCCACCAGTCCTGTAGCTGCGAGCGTCACTCGCCAGCGCTTCCACTGAACTCCCTCCGGTTACAACCATGCTTATAGTTAAGCTCAAGTATTGAATGGCCGATAACACAGGTCTCCAGCCGCCAGCTCTTCGATTTGATTATCGTAAAGCCGAAATAACATCTAATAAAATATTGTTCGTCTTTGTTACAATCGTAAGCAGTAAGCACACATCATTCCCAACTCGATCCGTATCATGCTCTCTCACATCCCACACGGCCACAATTTGGCCACAATGACCTGGGAAATGATGATTTACTTTTTCAAAACTCGTGCACAACTTCACGCGTCGATAAATAAATCCCACTTCCAGTTCCAGGTCACAATTCCTTCTGGTGATTTTTTTTATGATATTTGCTGCCATCAAAACCACGATTCATTGCAGGACGCTTAGAGTGACGGCACTGTCCGATAACTATATGGATGATCAGAGGCGTCGTAGGACAAGGCGTACTACATGCGGATGAATCGAAATATGGGTATCTGCTCTTATTTCACTGTCATTTTTTCCAGGGAACTCAATTGTTTTTGTAGCCCTGCTTAAATCCGTTCCCCATTGATTGATGTGCAACGATGCCCATATTTTGGGAGTTTGTATGCTGTGCCTAACCTAACACTCATTTGTAGGTTTATGACAACTACTGCGACACCTGTCGTGAAATGGGATGTGGTGACTGCATCCTGTCGTCACATAGATCTCACGAGTCGTGCACACTCGAGGCGAAGGACGCAGAGATAAAACGGAGGCTACAAGCCAGTCTGGAAAACATGAGGTAAGCTGGGATGAATTCAAATCGTCGTGCATGTTTGGGACGGCTGCCGCTTACCAATGCCTTACGCCAATGTATCGCCAATGTATCAAGGGGGCAATATGCAGTCACTTTTTGTGATATAGGGAATTGGGATTAATGAGGCAAAGCCTGGAAGTCCTTTTCCATCACGTGTGGCCTCGTGGCGTTACAAGCCCGCCAGGGGTGAGTCGTAGCACATACGAGTCCAACGCTGCACAGTCGTCCCGTGCCGTGGGCTCAGTGTTTATACTGCCGGTCGGGATGTTTACACTGACGCTAGCTGCGGGTCTCGGCAGCGCAACCGGTTGAGTACGTGCAGACTTTAAAAAGATCACTTAATGCCAGGCTCGCCGCCGCCCTCGCGCAGACATTGTCGAAAAATAAATTCACACTTTGTGCAGGCCCGCTGTCGCCCCCGGGCGCATCTAGACGAGCGCGGTATGAGCAATGAGAAGACTAGTGTGACGGACAAGCTAATTTAAACCCAGGCTGAAAGCAGTATCGAACCGCCACCGCTCATTTTTCGGCCAGTGGTCTAAGGCTAAGGCGTCATCATTACGTCAAAGGGACGCAAGGGCTTAGCGTTAGGTTCACTTAAGCTTTACGTTAGGTTCATAGTTCGGCACTCGGTCACCAGGGCCACTGTTCCCGAGGGACGTTGACCGTTTGCTCGATATTAATACAGCATTCACAGTCAGTACTAGGGCTTCGAAGAGAATGGGAGTCTGAGTAGACAATCCTGACAGAAGTCTGTGCTTATTTTGAAAGCCAGAGTCTGGGTCGAAGTCACCGAAAATCCGCCAACTCAGCAGTCAAGATGACCAAAAGCACCAGGGACTTTTGGTCAGCGGATATATTTGCTGCGACACCTCACCTGCCGTCACTTCCAGGTGAAGTGCTGCAAACATGCGATCGGGTCTGCCCTATCCGTTCCTCGCGTCGATCGGCCATGAAACTCCAGACCTGAGGACGGTACGGAATGGCATGCTCTGTATTGGTCGCGGCGCATATCTCCTCTCCCGTGCCAGCTCTCTGGCACTGAGCCAGCGGCGATCCAAACTCCAAGTGGCAGCTGGGGGGGGGGGGGGAGACGGCTCAGGACACCACATCTCACCCCCTTTGCATACAAACAGATGACTCACAACAAAACAAGCCTACCCGTGGCAGACACTGTCAAGCATCGCCCCTGCGCGTATTGTCCATTAGCGCAAAAAAAAAACTTACACCACCGCAAAGCACTTCCGACTTCGAGCACCGCGCCTGCACCCTGCGCCCTGCGACTGGCGCGGAGTGCCTGGCTGCGCGCGGCGCCGTGGGCTGCCAGGACGGCCGGTCGTTCCGGCCTCCGCCTGAGACGCTAGCCCGTCAAAGTCTGGCTCACCAGCACCGTCTCTTCCTCCGCCCGCCGGCTCGCCTCTGCCGTCCTCCTTCGGCGAGACGGCTCCATCTCCTCCGTCGTTCCTCGGCCCCCGGCTAGCCTCCACCGCCGTCTGATGGCTCGGCAGATTCGACTCTTCCGTCGTCTCCGGCTCCTCTGTCGTCCACCTCCGCCGCCGTCTGCCGACTCGACGGTGTCAGCGCTTCCGTTCGCCGGCTCCCCGGATGCACTCGTTTGCCGGCTCCCCGGATCTGCCTCCGTCCGCCGCGCCGGCGCGCGCATGTGTCTAGGCTCAGCCCGGCAGCGGCAGTCCAATTCGCAGCCAGAAGGGGACGACTCGGGACACTACAGGGTCCTCGCCAGTCGTCTGCGTAAAAGTTTACTAGGAGTCCAGGTGCGACACTTCGCCTGGCGTCACTCCCTCGGTGCGCTACGTGGCATTGCATGGACGGTTTGACCACCACATGCATCGCCGACGGCGTAGCGGGCGCATATATCGATGGGCCCGATGACCAGGTGGTGGAGAGATGACCAGACAGTAAACACCACCACCGGCCGTGTCTTTCGTGTTGCACCTCTGGTATGACGCTCCTATTAGCTGCTGGACGCCTAGTCAGCGTTAATCCGCAGATGACCCGATTGCATTTGGTACCGGCAAGATGGCGGTGCTAGCATGCGCTTACGAGGAGCGAGTTTCGCTGGTGCCACCGCTTAGTCAACATACATACAAGCATTGTGCTAAATGACCTCAATCGGGGGACGAGTGCACTTTGAGTGGTTCCCCTCGCACTGTTCTCCCACCGGAAACGATAAGGTGGAGACCCTGGCAAGAAAGGCAACGCCCTTAACCAAGAGGACCCCGCGGTCGACCGTCAAGACGACCCACACGGCGGCATCCACCCCGGCGCGAACTGGCTCGATGGGCGTAAATAACCTTTGAAGTTCGGGCGCCCTTTAAACCCACACATCAGGCCTCGCGGTTTTCATCGGTGGGTGATCGGCGTAGAGCTGTTTTCGTCTTCCGGCGCTCCGCCACCGCCGCTGCCAGCTGGGGGTCGGCAGCCCACGGTTTGGGGTCCGCTTTGGCTCCTCGGGGGATGTGACGTGCACTGGCGTTCATCATGGTCTCCGCCAGGTGCTGGGCAATCTGATTCGTGGTCCGGTCCGGCCGAGGAGGGGCTAGGAACTTCAATTCGTATTCCTCGATGTACGCCGTCCATTTAGTCTTGTGGTACGCCCAGCGTGCCTTGCGGATCCGGCGGGAGCGCGATCCCGTGACTGTCGCGTTAACCACTTTGGGGAGGTGGTCGCTACCGAGGTTCTCGCCGGTATCCCATGTGCATTGTGTAGCGTCTGGCCATGTCCTGGTGTGCCCCCGTTGGATCGGGAGCCGTGGACGGCCCTCGCCCGTAGCCGTCGCGGGTGGCAGCGCCGGTCTTAGCACCCCAGCCGTTCCGATTGATCCAGTCAGGGATAACGAGACATGGTCCGTCTGGTTCGGCGCAGGATGCGTCCCATGAGTCGTGATGGGCGTTGAAGTCTGATGACTTGGTTCGAGGTTGGGAACGAGTCCAGTGAGAAGTGGTCCGTTCGTTCGTCCGCTTCCCCTGGGCGGATCAGTGGGCGGCAGACAAGGCCCTAAAACATAAGGTTGGACGAAGTTTTCTACCAAAAATGTACTAGAATAGCGTACGAGTCAAAGCAATTTCCGTTGTTTCTTTACAAATATGTCGCAAACAAGCTTTTTCTGTAATAAATTATTATTTCGAAGTTAGGCAACCAGTTGCTATAAATTCGATAAGCAAACACTTATTTTTTGTATAAAAGCCTAGCTTATATAGTCCAACTCTAGTTGAATAATCAAGTAGCTACTAAGTTTTCCAGATGTGACACATATTGCGCACTTCAGACAAATGCGTTGCTAAGGCGTTGCTAAGGACTCTTTCGCATGTTTTGCTGCGTGGTTTTGTTATGAAGTGAGGGAAGTGAGATGGACAGGCTTTTTGATATCTTCCTGGTTTTTCTATGACCGTCGCAATTATTTAACTTGACATACTTTTCTTGCTTTTTTATCCGAGGCTTTTTCAATAATTGGTAGATTCTATCGTGGAAATAAAAGGGCCAGCAGGCCACAGAATGCAAGTCGACTGATAGTGAAATAAAAGCTAGAAGTGTCTGTTCCATTAAAAATTTAATGTGATGTGTGATGGAACATGAAGCAACAGGATCAGACGCAAGAACCACCAATTAAGATTTAAGAACCCAGAACCAGCAAGCGCCATGCCATCAAGAGCAGCCATGGTAACGTTTGATTAGCTTTCAGAAAACCTTGGACTAGACGCCAGACGGTGAACAATCAAGAGATCTTACAAGACCAGTAGTTACTTGAAAACGAGAGCCGCCAGGAAAATCAGTAGATTCTTCAATGGCAAGTGGCAACACATTTCAACATCTATCTAGCAATAATTTGCACCAGCGAGGTGCTATCATTGTGTTTTGTGTCTGTATGCCTAACTGCTAAAAAATATTCGTCAATAAATAAACAAACAAATAATGCGTCTTTTTCTACTGAAAGTATAGTCCTCCAAGTGGCAAGGGATGAATAATAGAAGGTATCTAATTAATTGCCATCTATTCATTCAATTAATAAATTAGGCAATTCAGGGCATCGATCGGCAGCGCCCTTACTGCATAGTACTGCGGATCGTCCATGGGTTTCTTGATGACTCGGACTCTGACTCAGACTTTCAAAAATCAACTCTGACTTTGATTTCAAATGTCGGCTCTGACCGACTCCGACTCCACAGCCCTAGCAGGTCTGCGGAGGCAATGGATTTTTGGTGACTCCGACTCCGACTCTAGCTTTCAAAATCGACTCTGACTCTGACTCTGGTCAGAACTGTCGACTCTGACCGAGTACAACTCCGACTACGGAACCCTGAAAAGTGAAAGGTCTGCGGAGGGGATCGAATTTCGGTGACTGACTCAGACTCCAGCTTTTAAAATCGACTCTGACTCCGACTCGGCGACTCAGGTCAGAACTGACAACTCCGACCGACTTCATGACTCCGACTCCGGAGCCCTACTGGCAGCTATCACGCCAGGGAGCTGCAAATCATATGTTCCGTGGCGGTTTATGGCATTAAAGTCGATAATGCGGCTGAATCGCACTATGAAACACCCTTATTGGCTCCAAGAACCACGAAAGTTAGCGCATCACCACTGGAAAACGTGACAAGATATCGATTAATTGGCCCTGGATTTGGATAAATAACATGTTGATGATCATATTAGCACACATTTACGCTATCATCTATCTCAAGGTTGCCCTCCAGGCGGCTCTAAACTATGGCAATTTCCCTATCTTCAACATGTAAATGCCCTCGGGCGTCCTCGTGGTGACGTAGGCATGGGAGTGCCAGGTTGGTAGGAACTAGACTTCGACGCCCCCTGGCGGCAGACGTTGTATATGTCATAACTCGAGTTTGTACAAGTCGTGTCCGGTTGAGTCCGATTGGAGAAAGATCCGGATGGCGCACCACTCAGTGGAGTCGTCTTGTGGCTGGAGTGGCGATCGATCAATGGTTATGAACTGGATGCCGTC